ATACCTACTATAAAGGTACTAAAGGTATTGTTAAATATTATTAATAATTTTAAACAAACTGATACTGGTTAAAACAAAAACATTGAAAAAAAAATGTAGATCATTTTGGTTTAAAAAACCTATAACAATTTTCTTAACGATTCAATTTTAAAACAAGCTAAGTACTACCGATGGATGGCTTCTTACTCACGTGTCACGTAACCCCTTAATGCTTGCTACCCCAATCTCACATATACTTATTGTGCTTAACTGTATAGATTGTATATTTCTTGTAAAAATAAAAAAATAAAAAAAATTAAGGGAAAATGGCATTTCTTAAGCTAAATTAGTGTTTGGTTGTATCAATTTTAGTACTGTTGGAAATGTTTTTTTTTTTAATAAATTTGTATGTGCTGCCCGCATAGAAACTATTTAATATATTTGGTTCAGTTAATAGTTTGAGTTTGATATGCTTGCATTAGAACATTATAGTGACTTACACAGTTACACTTTAATGACGAAGTAGGTTCTATAAAAATCTTGAAAGTGCAGTGTACTACAGCAGAGTGGTTATCTACTTTCTCCCTTATTTTTATCTGTTCTCCAGTCTTCACAAATAAGTATTCGATTTATAGTTTACCATTTACTTATGAACTTATTTTATATAGGCAAAAAGCTAGCATATGTAAATAATAACTTAATTAGTAAATAATATTTCAGTAGTATAAACAAATGTTCTGTTAGGTACCTATATAGTACCTACATTATTCAGAACTTACTTATTCAAATGTATTATGTTACCAGTGCATAGTTAAGATAATTAATGATTGACAAATATATTATTTTTAAATTGTACCCACATATAGTACATCTAAACATAGTGCATTAACATTGACAACATTGTGCATTATTGAGTTGTATTAAAAAATGTTTGGAAACTGAGAATTCAGCAGGAAGAAAAAATTGGCTATATTATTAAATTTAAATGTATCTATGAATATTATCTAAGATCCCACATAGGTTAGGCTTTTGGAAAGCCACTGTATATGATGATTCATATTTCATAATAACGGCTGCATCCGAATTGCATGCCATCTAAGAAGGATCTGTCCAAATTGCATGTCATGTCACAAGTTTAATTATCATGCACTTATTAGGTATGTGCATAACTTAACCTTTTTTATGAAATGTTCTTATCTATATATATATATACAGTGGTCACCGCTTATTAGACTCACTTTGGGACCTGACCATTTGAGTCCATTAACCGAATGAGTCAATAAGGCGAATGACCTCAAAAAAAATTTTTTAAATCCTTACATTTAAAAACTTATTCAGCTAAAAAAAATTTATTGAGATTCAAGGTATGTATGCATAAAAATAAAAATATAGCTATACGCAATTAAAAATAAAATAATATGTAATAAAATAATGTTTGTAAAATCTAATTAATTTTTCGATAAAAACCCATCTAGGGTTGATTGGATTTTCCCTTCTTCGGCCAACTTCATAATCATATCTTCACAGGATTTATGTTGCTCGAATACGTAAAAATCGCCTCTTTGCTGAATCCCTCTACGTACAATTTGAAGCCCAAAATACCGGTACCGACTTATTTCGCATTTATAACACGTTTGTTTATTGTATGTACATATTTTATTTATTTATCTAATTTTCAAATGACCCTATTAACCGGTGTGTGAGTCGAATATACGAACTTTTTGCTGTGTGTTGGTATATGCACAAATCGGGACCAGCCGTTTTGAGTCTAATAGGCGAATGAGTCAATTAACCGTGAGTCCAATAAGCGGCGACCACTGTATATATATACACACACACACATATAAATGGACCCTACTCCCTTAGGTTTGTCACTGCACCACTTGAGAATGCCTTTACCGATTTCATTCATCTTTTTTTTAATGAAAGAGCTTATTGTCCTAGGACATCGTGGAACAGGTTTTTAGGCATAAATTTAGCTGTGATATTGAATTGAGTCCATGCTACTTTTATGTGTTTGAATTGAGTCCAGCTTATTATCTAAATATTTTTGAATGGAGTCCGTATGGATAAAATGTCATAATTAAATACTTACCTGTCCAATATTTCACGGAAGATTTGATGGCAATAAAACCATGTGATGACGAAAAAATTGACAATTTTACAGATTATATTTTACATAATTACGTTGTCAATGATATTGCACAGTCCCCCCTCCCACTACATTATTTGGTGTGATTTTTCAGCAACAACTAATCGGAGCACTAATAATTGTGAAAGTTTTCACTCAAAATTAAATGCCATTTTTCATTCAGGACATCAAAATGTTTTTACTCTTGTAAACACTCTTCTTGGAATATAGTCCGATACATGTATTATATTAAGAAGCAAAGCAAAAAGACCACGTAAAGAAACATTAGAAAAAGAAAATTTGTTACGGGAGTAGATAAACAAGTATACAATATATTAGTTAAATTATACATTTACTTGTGAAACTCGTGGTTTCCGCAATCTACCGCAGGTAAATTGCTTACCTAATAAGTGATAATATATTATTCTTATAATCACAGAAAATCTCACGGCAACTGCGGGCGGAGTACCTAGCTATAAATTAAAATATAATATGATTTACACTTTAGAATACATTTATTGAATCACAATTTTGTCCTGGCAAGGCAGGATTACTTGTTATTGATCGAAAATTAATAAACTAATGATTAGTACACGAATTATTCGATCGCAGCATTTTAGAATAAGTTCAAAAATAGACCCTCAGCTAGTTTTTAAAAAATCACACGTATAGAGAAGCTCTGTGATATGGATCTTACAACTCATTAGTTCCTGGATTGAAATATTTTTATATCCGTATAAACATTCTACCAAACTGCAGTTTAATTGCGCATTCACCTATTGTAGTGTATTATGGTCTGTTTCACAGACATACGTATCGGTCACGTAAATGCTTGAAGCTCAAATTTATATAAGCACCATAATATTAACTTGAAATAGGTAACTAAGATTAGAGAGGTCATGCTACGTAGCTACGACCATAAATAATAGTAAAAATAATATAATTTAAATCAAATGGAGATATTTTGAAAATCACCTGTGTATACTCCGTATACTCCGTTAACAAAAATCAAATATACAACTGCGGGTATGTAATAATTTAAATAAAACTGTAGGTATATGATCCTTTTGAAAAAACTAGTAAAATACTACATTGTGAGCTATTACAGGGGCCTGGGGGGTATTACTTTATTAGTACATGAACAACAGATGACATCACACGAGTTATTAAAAAATTACATTACACCCGTTCAAGCATTTATTCTAAACTGCAAAATACTTTAATTGATTTACATATAGTTTTCGATAATTTGAACATCAAAACCTTAAACTGATATAGAGACGAAGATTTTTTATTTATTAATAGTCATGAAAATAATATTCTAGCTTTTACAACATAAGGAAATTTAAAATATTAAAGTGGGTGCAAAAAGTCATTTGTTGTTTGTATACATTTTAAAATTGTCCTAAAATGTTTTACCAATAATTCACAATAATTTATGATGTTGTAACTATTATACACCACTTTTTTTTTATTAACGTAGGTATAGAAATGTATAACGATGCTTTGAGTTTTGACTAATTGATTAAAGAAGATGAACGATTTGGATTTAAGTCTCAAATCATCGCCAAAAATAATTTATACTGACTTTGAACTAGTTATTTATTCTGCACTTTTAGTTGTTTTTCCAAATACAATAAGAAAAGGATGACATTTTCTCTTAGGGTGATTCCACCCAACCCACCCTATATGGAGAACAATTCTATCAGTTTTTTTATGTACACATTTAAAAAAAAAAACAAAAATCGTAATATTTTTTTAAATTAATTTTTGGACTGTCATTCTTAACTCCTAATGTTATAAATGACTGTTTTACAAACGAAAATAAAAAAATTCAATACAACGATGATCGAACACATGTATTTTGTGACTACTTCTCAGAAACTTATGTGATGACTAATAGTTTATATTCACCATCTATTTAGGCTTAATTTTCTAATTCTACAATGAGTACCTTCAACCAATGTTTGTGAATCAGTATTGTATTCGATAGAAACCAATAGTGGGGAATTATAGAAGCGGTAAAAGGCCTAAATGTTCTATTTTAAGCCTGAGAAGAAGAAATATTTGAAATACCATGTGAAATACATTAACTTGATTATCCTAAACTACCATATTTGTATTTAATATTTAAGATTCACAGTTCTACCTTCTCCGATATTTTTATATATAACTGTAATGCAACAAAAAACCGTTCTTTAGTGGAAAATAAGTTAAATTATAGTTAAGTAATTATTTTAAAATAAAATTATACACGGCTTGCAATTCGGACAGGTCCCTATAAGAGATTGCACGCAAATTGCACTTCCAATTCATGTGTTTTTTTAGTACCTATGTAATTCGAATGAACCAATTACATTATTGTTCTTTATTTTATTTTCATAGTCTTTAAATAGGCTGTATAAAATGCAATTGTACTTAAAATTTTCTTAAATCTTTTAATATGTAATTAATAATTGTTGAATAATAAAAAAAATTTTAACTGAATTAAAAAAGCACCAGTTATACTTAATAATTTAATAATATTTTCATTAAATAATGACAATATTTTAATTTGTTCAATTAATATTTATTATGTATAACACTTTTGTAAGTTTATATTTGACTGTTAAAATCCTAAATTATCATGTTTAATATACTTTACAAGCCATTTTAACTTATGAGTATGGTATGATAAATTGTTAATCCCATTTTACATAAAAATGAGTTTTTCACATTTTTTGTGCTATTTTTACTATTTATATTGTTTTAAAATCTGAACTCAACCTTATGTGGTTAAATTTGTAACAATTAATTTGAATGGAATTGGAAGTATCCAAAGTTAATAATATTTGTAGATCAATAACTGTCTTACCAAAACTTCACCTAATGATAATGAAAACAAATGATATAGTATTGTTTTGTCAAGTAATTTATTTTACATCTTAGAGTAAATTCATACATTTAAGTTTTGTTATAATGTAAAATGTACAAAATATATATAAAACATTATGGAAGGTAACAATAATTATATGGATTCACACAAGTTTCACAATAATATATCAAATAATTTGTAAATGGCTTATGTTCTACATGTACCATGTATAAAATGAAATGTCTAATAAGTTGTAAAAATTAATGAATAAATAAAATATTAATATATAAAATAACTAAGGATTGGTAACATAATATCAATCCCAAAAAATAACAGTAGACAATAATAGCATATTATTAACATAATAATAAGTCATGAACAAATAAATCAACTCATGGAAACTACATTTGTAAAATACGTAAAAAAAAAATCATTACACCTAGGTAACTGTAAAATATAAAAAAAAGTTATACATTTTCATCATGTAAAATAATCATTTTATTTTCACAAGAAGAGGAACTATCATCATCCTGTTCTAAAATTATGTTATTTATATTATGATGTTTGGGAGCTATATCCATTTCATCATCCACTTCTGAATCTTGTTTTATGCCAACTACAATGCTATTACCTTCCTGCAAAAATAATTAATGAATTACTTAAAAATATAATACACGCTTTATTAGTTGAGAAAAATTATTTCTAGTTCTCATTTAATTGCTAATTGCTATTTATTATTTTCAACATTTATTCATACCATCATTTTTTGCTTCAAGTGAGTTCTAACATGTTTTTGTAAGTGGTCACTACGCATAAACCGTTTAGGACATTCATTGCACTGAAATCTCTTCTCTCCTGTATGTGTTCTATTGTGTCTCTATAATTTAAAAACATTTTGTTTACAATCAAATATTTATAAATGAAAAGTATATTTATTAATTATTAATTTTGTACCTGAAGTTCATCTGATCTAGTAAATCGTTTACCACAGTGTTGCCAATTACAAATAAAAGGTCGTTCACCAGTATGCCATCTAAGATGAGCACGTAAATGAGATGTTTTTCCATACATTTTATTGCATCCTGGCACATGACAAATATGTACCCTCTTACCAGCACCATTTCTATAAGTAAGATAACCATTATGAACACTATGAAATAGAAATATAATTTAACTTTAGGATATAATAATAATCTAAATACCGTTTTTCACCATCACAGCAATTGGGGCATGTACAAGCGACTCTTCTTGTTCGTGGTTTTTCCTCACCGGGAGAATCATATTCAGTTACTGAACTTCCATCCTGAAACATTGTTCCAGCTATCGGAATAATTTGCCATTTTTGGTCCATGTTTTCTAATTGTTGCCCAGTAGCTATAAAAATAATTCACAATTAAATAATTTATTTAATTCATACATATTGAAACACATACTAGCATTAATAACTTGTATATTTTGTAGACCAGGTGGTAATGTTTGAGTGGCATTAGATTTGCTTTGTCCTCCAAGAGAAGTAATGATTTGTACAGTTCCAATTCCTGGTATATTCACAGTTTGTGGTTGATTTGTGTTTTGAGTAGTTGCTGGTAACTAATGAAATAAATAATATATTAGATTAAATTATTATATACTTAAATTTAAATGGTAAAGTTTTTTTTTTAACAAATTTATTTGAAATATACAAACTGTCAATGTATTTTACAATAAGTATATGTGAGTAGGTAAATGATATGAATATGAAAGACAAATTAATAGATATACTCAGCTGTATTCAATTTTAACGATATATATATTTTTTTTAATAAATAAAAATTGTACCTGAACAACATTATTTCCTCTAATAGTAACACCATTATTATTTTGTAAAAACTGAGGAAGGTTGTTTGTTGGTATTACTGTTAATTGTTGAGGATTATCTAAACAAATAAGTTTTTTTTTAAATTAATATTTCTTTTTGAACTCGAGAAATAATTTAATTTAACTGTAAATTGTAATCAACTCTTACTTCCAAGAGTTAGTTGTTGAGGAATTAGTTGTAAAGTTTGTCCAGACTGGGTTTGAATTGTCACAGGTTGTGGTTGTGGGCTATTTTCATTACTACTCGAAGATGAATTTGGTGATGAATTTGTCTGAATAAAATGTTTGACATTAAATAAAATATTTAAACGCTAAATACTAATTAAAAGGAAATAATGACTTACGTGCATAACATTAGGTGAAGTAGCTGGAGTTGTTGCATTTTGGTACTGATTATTTGCACTGGATGTATTCACTAACTGTATTTGTTGGCCATTACCCATTGGTGATGTTAGTTGGATGGTCTGTATCTGGCCATTACTATTGACTATTTGTGCCATTTGAGGCGACTGAGTCATTTGAGCCAATTGAGGGATTTGCATCAATTGGCCTTGATTTCCCTGTATGATGTTTGGAAGAGATGAAGCAAAAGATTGTATAGGAAGATGCAACGTTTGGTATATAGTCTGACCATTAGACGATATAGGCACTTGAACAGGTATGGTCTGCTGAACAGAAGGCAACTGTACTACTTGTGGCATATTTGATTGACGTACAGAAATGTTTTGTCCTTAAATATTGATTTTAAATTATAAGATGCACATGTAAACATTAATCTATTTTACAAACCTGATTGAAGCTGAATCGTTTGCAATGGTCGAACTATCTGGCCTGTTGGTGTAAATATAGTAGGTGCCCCTTGACCATTGTTAGAATTTGTAGGAATGAACAGTGCTTCTTGTCCATCAACTGTTATTGTTTGATTATTTTGCTATTATGAAACAATAAGACAAACTAGGAAAAGCTAAAAACATAGAATTTCTAAAATTCTGTTATCTACCTGAATAAATTGACCAGGTAATCCCTGAACTGAAAATATTGGTTGTATCGTAGTGCCATTTGATGTTATAGTTTTGATGCCTTGATTTTGTTGATTTTGGGTCAATTGTTGTACCTGCTGCATAGGCAATAAATTCTGTAGGTTGGCTAAAGTAATAATTTGAGGTTGGCCATTGTGCATTTGCACTATAGTAGGTTGTTGGTCTTGTTGCTGTTGATGTTGTTGTTGTTGCTGTTGTTGTTGTTGTTGTTGTTGTTGTTGCTGTTGCTGTTGCTGCTGCACCTGCTGTTGCTGTTGCTGTAATATGAAAATATTGTTATCTTAAATGTTATATTATAGGAAATTTGAACTCATTGATTTATACATATTAGTGAAAGAGTCCCATAACATACATGACACGAAAAGAAAGTAGTTGTGGACATTAGCCATGTACATGATAGTATAATATATATTAGGCTTTTCGGTTTAAAATTGATAGAAGACATTCATTGCAATCCTACAGAAGTCAACAAATAATGGTTTAAATTGTATATCGAGGACTACATATTTATGCCGATCTAATGTATGACAAAAACGTATTTGCCTAATAGCTATTGAATAACGATTAAATGATACACATAAACATTTGATGAAGCAACTATCTGAACCATGCATATTATTTGATTTATTTAATACTGGTCTATATAGACGCCTAGCAATCAATTCACTTAGGTAGCTATGTGGAGCCAATGGTAAGATAAATTGCATTGATTTGGACATTTTTAGAAAAGGTTGCACAGGAAGTTTATAGACCCTCACATGAGACTTTCGGGTTAAAGTGACGATGACAATAAGTGCAAAAAAAAATATCAACTATCAGCATAGTATAGCTCAAGTTTAAGATCCATCGATGGAACCTGAAGTCTTCTCCGGTCATCTATTATGATCCTACATCCCATTTCACATAATGTTCACCACCGAGATGGGTGTGGGGGAGGATAGAGCTTGGCTCTTGGTGGGGGTTGCATGCGGTGTGTACGACTTTTCGTTACATCCTTAAATATCGCCCCTCCGCCCATTTTCCCGACCCCGCGGCACGTCCGCGGCGACGAAGAATGACTCCTCCCCCCCATTAATGTCACGCGTAAGCACGCACACGCACACACACACTCGAACGAGAGCGGTACAGCGGTCGTTCGCCAACTCTGCTGTGACTACCTACCACTATACGCATGAATTTGGCGCGTTTTCGCCCGGAAAAGTTATTTTCCTTTTAACGTCGTAATCAAACCGAAAAAAAAATGGTCCCGATAATCGACGGCGGTTACGACATCCTACTAACCACCACCGACCACTTTTCCTCCCCCCCCCCTTCGATTAACACTGGGTCGTAAGTGATGACGGGCCTTACCTTCACGTCTTTGTCGTCTTCGGTTTCGCTCATCGACTCCTTGATATCGTCGTCCTGATGATCGTCCGCTTCCATCGTGACTGGAGAAGCCGACGCCGATCGTCTGATTTTAGTGCGAAACGCGCGACGTAAAAATATACAACAATATTAATTTATCACTTTACCGTTACTAATTGTCAGCGACGGTGACGACTGACGAAACGACTAAATAATAGTAAATACGAGCAACATCGCGATAGGTGACCACCTGAAAATATAATGCAGATGTTGAAGTCGTCGTTCACAAGTTCAACGCGAACACGGTGTAAACAAAATATAATTCACGCGACGATGAGACGCGTACGCAATACAAAAATTATTTCCAATACTAATTAAATGCAATAATAACAACAACAAAAAAAAAAACTAATCACAACAACAACAAGAAAATAGTGCGTGAACGTTATGAGGCGGTGTCGAAAAGCGGAGCCAGATATTACGGACCAAGCCCAAATGTCCCCGATTGGCAGTAGGCCTCGCTCGCCCTACCCTACCGCCCGGGACCAGCACACACAAAAGGCGGCCGCTACGATAATAGAACGTTACGGTAATTACCGTGCACAAGCCAAAGTGTAAAAAAAACTTGTCAAATTTTCTGAAAAATTCGCGAACGATTTTGTTCGCAATTCAACGATGCTTGTCAAGACCATAAATAATGGGCCGTAAGTGGATTACTACATCCCATAGCCCCCGAGACACGAGAAAATCAAAAATTTCGAGCGTCCTCTAAGTACACCTGGTTTCTAAAACTGAGTTGGTCAGCCTGTACCGCACAAACGCACACGACGTCTTTTTACGAGCGACGAACATAACAACTGTGCCCGCCGGCCAAGCCGCCGCCCAGACATTGGTGCCCAGTTTGGTATCCAAATCGTTATTTTTTTAAAGACCTATAAATACAATTTGTGAAGTTATGCGATATTTTATCTCACCATAGTTTATAATTCTATGAATCTGACGATCATGGTAAAAAACTAACTTGTGCAACGCCAGTACATTTTAAACGTTTGATGTCGACCGGGTTGCCTAGATTTACGAAATTATGCACATTGGCCATTGCTCAATGTAGTCTTGTTGTATAGCCACGTTTAAGGTGGTATAATTTGCAACAAGTATAATATCATGCATCATAATATTATTAATTCTTATGCCGGAGCGCCTGTGTTTTGTCTGACTGTATGCCGGGAAGTTGAACTGAGTACTGACTATTGTGACTAACCGAGCAGTGGCTCACTGCAACCGGTGTTTTAAAAGTCGTTCGGACGATCTGGCTGACGGAGAGTCAAATTTAAGCAATTCCACGGGAAAACATTGGAAACCACTGGCCGATGGCATCGTTGTGTTGCTGGCACCAATGTTCCTTTCTAAAAGCATTTTTCACGGCGTCGGTGGCATTGGCTTCGGTGGGCGGGGGCGCAGAGGCGGTCAACGTACGTACACACACAACGTACACGCGGGCCCCCCGGTCGTTCCTTCACCACCGTCACAGGCTTCGGGTGACCCACACCCACGGGTGTGGGCCCAACAGCCCTCCGACCACCCATCTACCCCTTGTGCCGCGCGGGTGATGGGAGGGAATATAGTTCGCAAGGCGTTTCCCGTGAACCTGGCCGCGCGCGGTATTATATTAATACGGGCCCCAAACATCGGCAACACGCTTTGCCTCCGATGTAGCGACAACGTTTTGACATTATTATTATTATTACTGTTAATATTATCATCATTTGGCGGCACTCGGCCAGCTGCAGGTGCCCTCCCCTGTCACCAAGGACACGGCGCATACCATACCAACATCGTCCACTTGTTATCGTTGGTTTATCGCAAATTCTCTGTCGTTGTAGTGGGGGCGTTTCTTGCCGTTCCCTTGTGGTAACATGCACCGCAAATGTATTATTTTTTCACGATGCCGTAGGTAATTTAAATGATAATACTGAATAGTAAAACGGATTTCCACATAATTTCGATTTTAATTTTACAATTTGAAAATTGTTACTCTTGGCGTTTTAGTATGGGTGCCTATATGGCTGCAACACGTTTCGCCGTCAGGACATTTATCCCAAAGGCCAAAACGTAACACGTTTAGACACAATTGATTTTATGTACCTAACAAGTTTTAGAACTGAATCAATTATAAATTAATAAACTGGCCTTAGTCGCCGGGCTTAAGTTCAATAAAAAAAAAAATTAGTAAACATATATTATATGAAATATACCTATGGAGGTATTTTATGTACCTAAAGCGTTTATCTTTTATACAAGGTATACAATATTGTGGACCTTGTACTAAAAGCCAAAAGTCCTAAAATTTTTAATTATTATTTATTAGATAAATAACTTGTTAAACAATAAAAAAAGACCGGGGAAAAATTATTTAAAAAATAATATTATTTATTGTATTTTTATATAATTTATATTATTATTAATTATGCATTTACCATAATCATAATTAATAACTGCTTGTGTTATTATAAAATTATAGTTCGTAAAGAATAATTAGAAGAAAAATGTGTTATTTTTATCATTATATTATTTTATTATTAATTGTTTCTAATTTTTCTAATAGCTCTGTGCCTATACTTTAAATTTACTAGACACAATTTACACACAATTTATCTCAATTAATTACCATTCGCGATTTGCCATGTACCACTTCCTAACATTTTTTACAATTATAAGCCTAAAAGTTAGATAAAAAGACGTATTTGTGACCGTTGTTTATTGTTTACTAAAAAAATGAAGAGTACTCTGGATACTTCTTCACAAAAAAATGTCAAGTATTTTGTGCAAGAAAAGGGATGAATGTAATTTTTTTCCGGATTCAAAAGTACTACCCGTTGACTTTGAGCAAGCGACTTTCTATCCAGGATTAAATAATTGGATTCGATTTTGATATAAGCGGATTTTTTCATCATCTACGTCGAAACATGCACTGAAAATACCAAATTTTGGTTTACTAATTTTGTATGCAAAAATAATGAAAAATTTTAATATATTTTATGAACTATAATTTTAACAGAATAATTGTATAATAGTAGTTACGCTAATGGTAAATGCAAAATCAATGATAATTTAATATAATATAATATATGTACCTATATAATGTATATATAAATATTTTTAAATCTTTTCCGGACTTGTTTTGTAATATTGTATAATTTCTATTATCATTTTATTCATTATTTAAAAAAATTGACGCAACACATTTTGCAAATATTTAAATTATCATAAATATCATAAGTATACATACAATACCTAGGTGCTAGGGACCTGTTACCTAAATAGTATAATATATGCCAGGGGTTGGCAGAAAGGCACAGCCCACTGAGAGGAAATATTGCCAAATATATTTTACTTAAATGCCGAATTTTTTTTGTTCATTATTTGTCTGTGAAAGGACTTGACATAACAAGGTTATAATATCGTCTTAAATATTGTTTTCATTTATAGATTAAAAAATACGTCACAATTTTTTATTTATGATTCATCACGGTTGTTGTACGGTGTTGTACGATATTATATCCGGTTAGTCTAAAACCTAAATACCTTCATGAACGTACCTATACAGAAACAAATGATAAACTACATATTATTATACAAGATTACATTCAGTTTCAATGTACTTCGAAATTCCATTCAAATGTTTACATTATGGTAGTATGATACTATATGATATATTTTAATATAATCTGTATACAAGTATATTATATTATCAAGGTTTTATTATGTTGATGCATTAGGTAAAAACAATTGACAATGTTATCACTTTGTAGTTTTTAATTTTATATTTAATTTCAAAAAGTATAATATATAAATCACCTACATATAAATGTACAACACAATAGTATGCAATTTAGTGTTTGTTAGACGTGGACCTATTGTAATCTTTATTTTTGTATTATCGTTGTTCAATATTTATATTATGTACGTATATATTATAGTCTCTCACTTAAACTAATTGCCCTGCAATAACTATGAAATTAAATGACTAAAAGAGATAATATAATATTTATATTTTATACAAATAAAGTTAATTTAACTGTGCAAACACTAAACATAATATTGAGGTTAACGAAGTTGCTAACATTCACAAGCTACATCTATATCAAACATACATTCAACTTCTAAATTCACAGAGTCAATACCTCATCTCAGAAAGTCTTTCAGAAATAACCAACTAGCATCATAAATGACCGCATAATTTTGATAGAATGCATAAAAATCTTTTATAAAAAATTGTTTGGTTACCTACATAATTTTGAATTATCATTTTCTCTTCTACTTCCCTCTTATTCCATAATCATTAATATATATATATATGTATATATACATTCTGTATTTCTGTACATATAACAAAGAATAAAATTAATGAAATTTCTTTTATTCTGTGCTAATAACTAAATTATATTATTTATCATTCCTGGGGGGGGGGGGGGTAGCCTCCTGCACTAGCTAGTAGCCACAGCTCACAGTGTAAAGTAAGAAATACATTTTTTTTACTCATGTTATATTCTTTAGATAGTATAAAACAACAACCAACTTTGTCAAAAATTCGGATGATGTTGCTTAATAATTAAATATTCCTCTTTTACCGCTTCGCTTTTTTAATTTTTCACATTATTAAGTACTCAAAATGTCTTAATTTTTAGCATATGACCATATTCGCCAGCTTTGATTGTCTCGCGTGTAATTCAACTAATTAGGTACAGATTATCTGTAAGTAATTGCCCATAATTTTCAATTTTAACTAAGTTCGGCACGCATTGTTATAAATAGGACATTTTTTAGAGCCATCAAATACGTTTTCATCAAAATATATTTAATTAATTATTTTGTATACATCTAGATTTTAGATATCAGATTATCGTCTTATTCGTTTACCTACAAATTGGTGACTATACATTAATCCAGTCGACGTAGATACCGTCTGAGTTGATATCATATTGGCATAAAGACAAAAGATATGCCATATGATACCCTTTACTGCAGTGTACTCGACACACGCTATTGTTATCATTTTAATACAATTAACAAAAATAGATTTTTCAATTGACAGGCTGATGGCTTATGGTATATTGTATACATACCAACAAGGCCGTATTGAGGTCCCCAAAATTCGGGCTTCCTCTTTCGAGACTTATTTTTATAGTTAATGAATTTAATTTATGAAACTAAATTAATTATTAATTATAATAATTTACGATGTTTTCCGAATACTATGATAACTTTATATTATGTTTGAATTATTATATATAGATACATAAACATCCGCGAATACGAATTGTGGTGGCGTTTATTTTTCTGGAGACAATAATTATGTCATAAACGATATTTTATCGATGAATGACGATAACTCATTGAAGGTATACGTCAATACCCGCATTACCGTTTTTACATGAATACTGTTAATGAAGCATACTAAATGCAACTCTGCATTTTTTGTAAATTCATCTTTTATTTTGAAATTATTAGTTACATATCCAGCTATGACTTCAATACCAGAACGCACATTTTATATCATGAAAAGATAAAATACTATTTAAGAAAACCCATCAGACCAAGTACGTTTTACTAACTATTTGGAGTGTACCTACACAGACAAATTGAAATAAATCCAGAATACGTAATTGATCGTTTCGAAGAAGAAAAAAAGACTAAAATAAAGAGCACTACAATTATAATTGTATTTTTTCTGAAAAAAAAATTGGCCACTCCATTTCAGATTTATATATCCATGGGTTCTACCTACGACCTATCTATATAACCCATATGGCCATATCGCTGATTTATAAAATACCAAGAGTAGTTGCTACACCTGCGTTTGTCTTACATAGCAAATGTATAATATGGTGTGCATACCAAACCCATAACAAAGCAATTTTTACTTATGGTACATATACGAATACCTAACCTTACGTTCTGAATAATCCATTTATAACTCTGTTATGTTTAATATTAGAGTAAATTGACATATATTATCAAATTGAAATGTTAAGAATATTATAGGTTTTTTTTTACATTTTTATTTTAAAGCGAGTGATGAGAATTTTAAAATGTTCATATGCCTATGAAATTCATCATAGAAAATGTTCTTATTTCTAAAATTGATAAATGTAAATTCACTCTAATATTAAACATAATAGTATTAAATGGATTATAGGAATTATGAGTAGTTGGAGTTGGATGAACAAAACAAAATATGAGAAAATGGGGATATGTAGTCCAAAACATAACTTGTTATAAATGTGGACAAGAGCAAACGTTAAACAATGTGTCAATGTCGCACCTATACTTGTATGCCCTGCAATTTGAAGCCCATGTACGCAAGATGATCTGATGATATGACAAGCAACCAGAAGGCGGTAGACACGGTTCAGTACTGGGAAATATAAAATGTATAACAATATTCGTTTCCATATTATCTTCTTGAAGAATAAATAAAAATGAAATATTATGTACTAATGTGTTTATTTATAATTTATATAATTAATTCTAGTTTTATTGTTCAATGTTTAATTATAAATGTATATATGTACTGGCTACAGACACGAGAAAAACATAACATAATATACCATAGTCATTAATAATTTGTTATTTATTGTACAGTTGGATATTTCATTATTTTATTTTATACAAGGTGGCCAGTTTAGTTGTGCCTATATAGTTGTTATTTTATGTTTTTACACGTTATATTTTATTGAAAAATATTGGAAATCACATAGCTACGCGTAAACACGTAATACTAAATATTAAGTGGTACTTGCAGTAGTACAACCTAGTATCATATTATAGTTGTGCATTTAGTTTATCATAATTTTATGAAAATCCACTATTATAATCATATATTTTCATCAAGATTTTCGTGCTTGTTCTCATTATGATATATTTTACTTTTATTGGTGCATTTGTATCTATATCATAATATAAAACCCGGTAAACATTATATTATTTATTTATATACCTATATATATTTGATATTGTATTATTGACTTGTGACAATGGCCGTCATCAATGGATATAACTACGGTACAGCCAACGTTACTCGTATAATAGTAATAATTATTGCTGTACACGTGTATTTCGTGCCGCCGACCTCTTGCTGGGTGCCGAAGGCCGTTGACGTTTACCGCAGCGAAGAAGATAAAAATACGTTTAATTGGATGGACGACGAAGACGATGAAGACGACGAGATAGACGACCTATCACCAGTGCAAACTGACGACGTCATTTCAGCTGAAAAAATGACTGCATTTTTCGATAAGTTAAATTCACTGCGCCAGCGACGCCGCGAAAACCGTCCGAAATCGGCAGACAATTCCTTGCAGCAGCCGTTCAGGGTCGATCACGATGGTTAGCAAATGTTTGAAATTTCGAATTAATTATGAATTATTATTTATTACTATATTCGATATAATTAACATAAAAATATAATGTTTATAAGATCTACCACCTGTACGTAATAATCGGATATATTGCTGAAGTAGACCTATAGGCAATAGGCTATAAAAGCAACCTATAGCGTAAGTGTACACGATATTAGTACTTTTAGAGATATGATATTGATTAATTTAAGTTAGTACGCACTATTGTACTAATTAATACTATAATATTATTTTAACATTTCATTAAATTTTTATATTTACTAAAATCATAAGAAAAGTTACTATATAATAATTATTATTATTACTCTTGAATTACAGAAAAATATTCTATAATTACAAGTGGTTATTAATTTTAAATTATGTATTCATGATGTACAGTAAAGTGACATTAATAACTGATATTTTATATAATTGTAATTCATCATATTACATTCATATTATTATGATATGTGTTTGTATAAAAACGAAATATATTAGTATGTGTAGACTGTATAGAGTATCTCAATTTCTAAGATTTGACTTCCTAACAGGGGAATATGCAGGGATATGTATTTTATCTCTGTAATTCATATATATATATATATACAAATCTATATAAATTAATGGTGGTCTGTCTGTAATAAATTAAGACTTAAAAACTACTGAATCGTTTTCAATTAAAGTTATTATTGTAAATATCTTAAGAATGAGAGAGTCTCTATAGCTTATTTTTTCAACCCCTATCGGTAACTAAACCCTAAAAAGTAGCTCACACTATTTTTTTTCAGCCAATTAAATTGTTGCCATTGGTTACATACTAAATTACTATTATAATTAATAGAAATATGATGTATTATACATTTTTAGATTCTGAGCGGAGCGAAAGAATGTATTGATTTAAGATTTTATAATAAATTATGAGCGTTTTATTTTTTTTCTGTTTGTCATCACCTTTTTGAGCAGTGATAGCAGTAAAAATGATCAGATTTTCTACTTCAGCATTGTTTTTGATAGGATTAGAAGTATAGGTGGTCAGAAGTAGAAAATTTCCTATACTTATGAAATACGTCAGGGCAAAATAAGGAGGATAAGTTGGTACCGCTCTGCTGGAGTAAAGCGTTTGACGAGCGTGTCATATATACTCTCATTTTATGTGTTATATTATATTAATTCAATGATAATTAATAATTCATCCGAAAACGATTCTAAGCGGAGACGTTGTGTCACCCTAGCATATACACTTGGATAATAATTAAAATAATAGTGAAAATTAAATTAAAATCGTAAATATCTCACAGCTATAAATAACATAAACTTCGGAGAATTTTTTTTTGATAGAGTTAGAAATTTGTTGGGAATCTTCGATTAAAATTTCTAATATTAGCTATCAAAAGAACATTTTTTATGAATTTTTAACTAAAAAATAATTTACAAAATTTTAAAATGTTCCCTTGGCTATGAATAGCTCAAAAAGATTAAGATAGTTTGAATGCCTTACTATGTATGAATAGTGTTAACATAATTAATATTTTATGAACATTTCAAGAGTCTACAGTTATTAATTGCTCTTGAATTACATACAAATATCGAATATTGACAGATGGAAATTCGTTAATTTTAAATTTACCTGTGAAAACCCAATATCCTAAAATGTTTATATTCAAAAATTCATTAGAAATTAAAATTACTTTCCGATAAACTTTTTTTTTGTTTTAAGTAGACAATGTGTGGGGATCTTCCTTTAAAATTTTTATAGGTTATGGAAAGAACATTTTTTACAAATTTCTAACCAAAAATTAATTTTAAAATGTTCCACTACACTAAACATTTTAGTTGCTGATTATGCAGACGATAAGGCAATAATATCTATAAATTCTAATCCGGAAATGGCCTCACACAATCTTCAGAATCACCTTACCCTTATGGAAGTCTGGTATACCAAGTGGCGGTTCAAAATTAACCAGTCTAGTCTATCCACACAACATTCACACTTCGTCTCTCTCCTTGCCCTGAAGTATCTATTTATGGCACTCAAATTCCTACTTCTTCTACAGTCAAATATCTAGGACTCACACTTGATCGCAGACTTACCTGGGCTCCCCACCTTAGATCTAAAAGACAAAATTTAAACCTACGGCTGCGCCTGTTAAAAACTTTTTGCAATAACAACAAATATACACACATTAAAACTAAACTCCTAATTTACAAATCTCTAATTAAGCCCATCTGGACATATGGCATACAACTCTGGGGTAATGCAAAAATTTCAAACATCAACAAAATACAAACCTTCCAAAACTTAGCGCTAAGGAAACTACTTAATGCTCCTCCTTATGTCTCCAACTTTTCCATTCGGCAAGATCTCAGGATGAACTCCGTCAAAGATGAAGCAAAACTCTACTATAAGCGGTTTCACAGTAGGTTACGGAATCATCCTAACCCTCTTATAAAAAATCTAGCAGTCCCTTCGATCCCGGGTAACCCCTTCAGACATCTCAAACGTAATTGGTGTCGTGACCTGCTAAATGCTTGATTCCTAGATCAAATTTCTCCTAATAAACTAAACAAAATAGGTAGTGTCATCAATGGGTTGCTGCTTCCGTATGTCATATTACTCATGTGTTTTTTTTACTCTTATCTAATTTGCTTATTATTCTATGAATAGATTGTAAATATCTAGTAAAAAATAAAAAAAAATAAAAATGTTCCAGATTTGAATGAATTTTGTCAAAATTTCAATTTTAAACACATAAAAAAGATCAATTGTACCATTATATCCTTAATTTTGAATATTTTTTAAAGACCCTTATGAAGAATCTTGCATTATAAATTTCAAGATTTCTTTTACAGAATGAAAAAGTTTTTATCAAAAAAAATCTCTTGAGTTTATAAATAGCATAAAAAAAGTCCAAATATTTTAGTATAGATGTATTTAGTTAACATTTGACAAACATTAGAACAAAATCTAAACAAAGAATAATAGTTTTAGTTATTTATTTGTAAAAATATTATTCCTTGGCCCATGGGCACCTACCTATATACTTATAAAATATATCATTATATTTTATCGTATCCAGATTCCAGAGCAAAGTTCTGGGGGGAGGGGGGCACAATTTTTGTTAATGTAAAATAACAATATTGGAATCACTGCCCACTATGAACTAAGATAGTACTATCTTAGTTTGTGCCCCCAGAATGATACTTATAAGTTATAATAATATATTATATTATCAGACATACATATAATTTCAAATATAATAATATCCGGACCTGTAGAATTATAAAAAAAAAATTGGGAAATAATATGTCTGAGAGGGTCTGCGCCCCTAGGCCCTCCCCCTGGATCCGTCTCTGTATTTTATACACACTGCAATAATAACAAAATGCAATATTTTCAGCAAAAATGTATTCAACCATTTTCAATCCTCTGTATTGCTGATAATATACAATAAACTACAGTAATCATTTTTCATTTTTTTTTTTTTTTGAAGGGGTGGGGAGGTAAGGTTAACGACCCTCAATAACAGCCCTACAAACATATCCTCCATTTGCTTTTGTCTTTCACTGCTTCTTTTATTGAGCTCCAAGTTCCACCGCTTCTACATCCCTACTATACAGCTAGTCCACTCATCTTTAGTATCAATAATATAATGATATATATAATAAATATACAATAATATCATACAATATAATTAAGCTGGTAGACCGTCTTCTTTCAGAATCGTTTTCCATATAAAATAATTTTATATCATTGAATTAAAATTATAGAGTGGCCCACACGACACCTATGTACAGCTGCAGAGACGCAGAGCGTAGCCACTGCAGGCCCAATTTTTTACAAATATATTTATAATGTTTATAAAAAAAAACAAATCATTGGCATGAAGGACAGCTAGTTTAATCTAATTAGTCTTATATTACTTTTTATAGTTACCTAGTATACGTAATTAATAATATTACTATGATTACCAAGGCTGTTCTTATAATAATAATAATAATAATAATAATAATAATAATATGAGTGCAGTACCGGTTGGAATCAAATCCTTAGACGAGGCTTCGGCGGCGGCGGCGGACTACACGGCGATAGAGGTTGGAAATCGTGGCGTTTTCGAGATACGGGATAGATCGGCGACTTCAATGGGTACGAGTGGCGAAGAAGCGATTGAAGTGGTGACGATTAACAATTACAATTATGAGGCACGGACGACAAAAACGATCGAGGACGGTCGCTTGATAGATGCAGGTAGATCCCGGGTCCTGCAAGCGGCTGCAGCCGTCGGATATTTGCACATGGGTTGGCGAAGCGCTCAATGCCTGTGGCGCCAGTATCGTAAAGCTGTCACTGAACAGGAAACGTTAGCTGTCCGCGAGCGGTTCAATGGTTTTGTCCGGTTCTGGACGTTAGCTATCGCCATCTCGGTGGTTGCCCTGTGGTCCACATTCGGATACTTCCACGAGCTGCTCTGTGTTTGCGTCGCTGCTCCACCAGCTGAATATGCCAAAGAAGTGAACAGGTACCTGATGATGGTACCCCCACACGTAGTAGTGACGAACAAAGGCAAAATGTTTCGGTACCAACCGACGGCCGAAGAACGTTTCCTATGGGAAAGCGCGAAAAGAATCGCAAATTTCAAAATATAAATATTAACTTTATAGGTACGATCATTATATAGTTGCTAATCGCATAATATTTTTTTGTATAATCGTAAAATGTATACATCATCAATAAAGCTATATTCAAATAGAATTAATAGATAAATAAAATAATTTAATTTTTAACCATTTTATGCATTTATCTCACCTACCCTAACCTAGCATTATAACTTATAAATAGCAAGGCCGTAACCCAAGGGGAGAGGGGAGGGGGTGTAAACGGGACTGGATCTTCTGCAATTTTTTAAAAGTAGAAAAACTAGCTGTGAATATTGTTTATTAACTATTTTATTAAGAATAATTAGTAATTTTTAAATGCAGTTATAATGATAATAAAGAGTTTTTATACTTTAAATGTGTAAATGATAATTTACCAGTATTTATACTTAAAATATATACGAATATGATTATACAACTAAATATATATTTGGTAAAACAGTCAATTTATCTTGTTCCCAAATAATTATATCTCGAAAAGTGATAAGCTTTCTATAGGTGACTGTAAATAATATGTATCATATTACACATGACTTACCTAATATGTATAGGTAGTAGTTTGTGGTGAAATTTTTTTAAAAATTATTTCAACTATTATGCACATTATACATACATAATATTTTACAAACATAGATATTGTGTTTAAGTCAATGACAATTTAAGCTGTTATTATAACTACCACCTGTCAACGGTCACAGAATAGTTTTGATTTTATTTACTATTATATTACCTACATCATTACTACATTAAGTTTATAGGCATCCATTTGTTTATTTTATGGTCGACTGAATATAACAATGTACGTTTGTTAATATAGCACAATAATATAACTGTGTGTACTATATGTCTATATATTATATATAGGTACGGACGTTCAGTAGACTTACTTTAACAAGTTTATACATTAATGTTGACTGCCGTCTGCAAATCAATTATTTAGCAATTATCATTCTTAACTTAGCCGTTTTACAATTTTTAAAACATATAATGGTAACAGTTGAATAATATATATATACATAGTTATGAAATATCGGGAGTAGGTTCGAACATAATTTGCTTACCACTATTAATCTAACTTCATCGCCGTATGACATTAATAAATTTATCATTTTAATAACGAGATAATTCAGATAAATGAAAAATAGACCTGGATCATAGTCGGTATTTAGAGAAAGGATATGCTTGTGTGTGCTTAGCACCCCCGGTATTCATATTAACATTTTCATTATTTATGCCATTTGATATATATAGTTATAATAACTAATTTTTCTATAACAAAAAAAAAATAGTTTACTGGAAAATCTCAATCATTTTATATAATAGCATTTGAATTTTGAAGTTTAAATTTTTTCGATATTTAATATTCAATCCTAAATTTCATTAACAAGGAGTTGATATTTTGTTAGAATTTAGAAAAGGAACTACTGTAGGGCATAGATACTTAATATTTTCTATACGTACAACGTACGTTAATATTTTCAAAACATTTTGCAGCCTTTTGAGTTATTTATAGCCATGAAAAATGTTAGATTTTTATTAATTATTCTATTACATTAATGAGCTGTTTTACTTCTATCAAAGGTTTTAATAGCTTTAATAGTAGTTTTTCGAATAATTTTTATAAGCTCGGAAAAAAACGATATTGGTCTGTATGAAGTTAGTTCGTTCATCATTTTTTGGGTTTATTTGGTTATAACCATGTGACTTTGTTAGATTGATTTTCGTATCGATTTCTTTTGCAATTTCAATCGGGCTAATCGGAGTGAAGTGTTTAATTATTCGTGTATTTCGTTCAATGGTTGCACTGCAATTCCACATCGAATTCAGAAGCGATATAGGTACCTATTTAGGTACCTATCATTCAGCTGGAATATGTGTTTTATAATGTAACGTACATAAACAATAATTCGGCTTTATCTTGGTTACTGCGTCCATTATCGCACAATCACAAATATTTTTAAGTGGTCGTTCTGTTTTTTACGTAGACATATAAAACAACTAGATAGTGGACTGCATATTACATAAAAAGTCGTGCGGCCATATTAATGTCAACAGGGCAATGTTTACAAAACAACTCAATAGATATTAGATAATATACCTAACATATATATATGGTATATATATATTACGAATATGTGTATATTATCAATCATACAATTTTGCCCTGTCGGCATATGGCTGCTATCCTGTAGTCGGCTATCTAGCTGTTTTATTTGTCTATGGTTTTTTATTACATATTTACATGATAACATAACTATTTTATGTTTTATAATAATATGTTATTAATCTCTAGCGGTTGTACTGTTGTAGATTTACCAAAAGTAATGATAGCACTTTATATTATGCGTTCAATAGCTATCTTGTTTTTAGGGACTTAGGGTCAGAATTTTCTTAATCTGCATACATTGGTTATTTTTGTTACTTCATGACCTTTGTTGTACAATTTGTTTTCTATCATTCCTTGATCTGAGTCATGATTTATACCTCGTGGCTCGTAACACAACTTGAAATGGTTTTTAATTTTTAATTCATACCGATACTACCTATTCAATATTATTTTCTTCTAGTACATTTTGTACCATGCTTCTGAATTGATTTTCGTTTATGCTTAAACATTTTGTCTCGTTATTTGACAAAACTTAGATTTTTTGTTCATATCCTGCTGATTCTTCACACGTTACTAATTGTTTTAATTTATCAGCGTATCGCATCTTTGATACTTATTGGTGGAGGTTTATAGTTTTATATACTTTTTGAGTAGGTACTCTAATTGCGTTTTTGTTATTTTTGTTGTAGCTATTGTGGCTACCTTGCCATTTGATACTGCAGCATTAAATATAGTAGTTTTTAAATAAAAACTTTTAGCCTCCAATAACAGTTCGTAATTTTTAGATTGTAATAATTTTTTACCTGCCTGTAATTTTGCCACTTCGAGAGTCGTGACGGATTTGTTCATTAATTTGGATTAACTGATAAACACGGTAATCGTTTCTGCAGTTTCTGCATACGACAATGAAACTACGACCATGGCGGTGTACGGGAACCACCGGCACGTGCAGTGCTCGAAATGGAAAATTTTACGAACCGGAACGTTTATAAAATTAATATCCGGATTATGATATTAATTTTTAATTTTAATTATTCTAATTCGTGTTTACTTTACAATAAAATATAATTAGTTAAATAGATAATAATAATAAATAATACAAGTAATTTTAAGCTTAAAAAATTTACAATTCAAATTGTATACATAGTTTATAATAATCTCCACAATGCTGAATATTTGTCGTCAATTTTTTTGTCACGTTTGCGACTCGCATTGTCATCGGCAGAATGTCCACCTTTGGCAAACCATGACCGTACATATTTTTCAGGACGAAATTCAGTGAGTGGAGGGCCAACACAATTAATAAATAAAACTGCAGAGACTTTACTAACAGTCAATGAACATCTGAGGGGAGTTATAATTTCATTAATTGAGCTAAAATTTCGCTCACACTCACTTGTAGATATCGGAATAGTCGCGAATTTTTACAAAACTGAACTCTTAAATTTTAATTTTAACCAACCGGAACGTACGCAAATCTTATATTACGAACCGGAATGCCGTTCCGGTGCGTTCCGGTCCATTTCGAGCACTGGGCACGTGTTGTTTGCTTAACAGGACGCTACATGGACATTCGTTGTCTCCGTCTTATAAGAGTAAACAGAAAATTGTACTCTCAGCAGATCGCATTTAGCTCCGTAAGTTAAAATATTAGAGTGAATTGACCTCTTATATAATTTAAAGGTAAGATCATTATCCATATGGTATCTCATAAGCGTTTTATTATATTTTAGTTTTAAAGCGAATTATGAGTATTTAAAAATTGTAAATTGCTTGTACATCTTAAAATACTTTTAACTCGCTTTAAAATAAAAATATAATAAAACGCTTATTAGATGTACTAGATAATCATCTTTCCTTTAAATTATATAAGAGGTCAGTTTACTCTAACTTTTAAACTTAGTACTTACGGAGTTACAAGTGATCTACTAAGCGTACAATTCGGTATGTTACGCACTTGTGAGACAGAGACAACAAAATTTCCTTGTAGCTTCTTATAAATTATATTATGTGAACAATTACCAATGTCCTGTCTGCGTGGTAAACATTTTTGATAATATTAAAATTACTGAAAATAACACGTCACACAAGTACGGCACCCGAAAGCGAAAAACATACGTGTTGCTCGTTTAGCAAGCAAATCGTTACTATCATCTTAAATATAAATATTTACTTAGATTACAATTAATATAAACAATAAATTTAGTCTCTGATTTTCAAAAAACAATACAATTTTGCAAATATTTATGATTTATTTAGTTAATATTATTAATTCATATTAGTGAATTAGTGATAAGTTTCAACAATACATCTGACTTGAAGCGTAGATTATTTGATGATGACATGATGTGTACCTACTACCTACCTCAAAGCTCCAAATCGGGTTTCATATTATTTAACATCTGTGTTCTTGACATTCCTCAGTTACATCTAACAATTGTTATCAACCTCTTCGGAGACGACACAACTATCTGTTTATGGACCTGACCCGGTCAAAATCAAATTAAATTATTTCATTTGAGACTAAACCGAACTGTTATACGCCTACACTAGTCACTAAGTATTTCTGATAGGACTTGACTGAATTTATTTTTAAATTTATTAAACTGAATTGGACCAAATCGTTACTTTGTTTTATTTCTTAAGGCTGAATCAAATCAGACCGCAGTCCGGTCCAGCTTGGACTGGACTGTTGGAAAAGAGGACCATGCTGTAGCACTACCATTAAAAAGATAGAAGATCCTATCTTTTTCTTCGATAGAAAAACTGGAAACGGGTGGGAACTGTTTAGCACAATACTGCCACCCGCCCCCCTAGCGTTGATTCACCAACTCAATATTTGTTACACAAAAGTGGGGGAGGGGGGCCCCAATCAACCTGAAAAGCTGATCTTCGGCCCACAGAATCTATAGTTGATATCTATCACCTACAGTGAATCACGAAACATTGAAGCGATGCCGATAACTACAAACCTGCAATATCAAGTCAACAGCTTATCTTAATAGTGTAAAAATTAAAAAATAGAAGAACTAAATCAATGCTTCGAAAGCTTAGGATTATGTTCTTAGATGGTACGACGCTACATACCCTTCGTAATGAAAATCTGTAAACGAAAATATATCTTGGCAAAAATTAGTTAAATATCTTAGCGTAAATTTTGACAAAAGTCACGTGATAGCTGTATATTTAAACCAAACTTCGATAGGCATACCCGGTCTTTTATGTTATACCATATTCTAAATAAAAAATGTACAGAAAAAAAATTTTTTTTCTTGTATACAAATAAATCCTACATCCACTACTCATACACCCATATACATATACTTATTCGATCTACAGAAAAAAACTTCAATGATTGACCTCTCACATTAATTAAAATACAAATCTTTCAAAGCAAAGTTAGTCACTAACTTCTAAGAATAAAATATAAATGCAGACCTCCCCCCTCTTGGTTCATAAGAAACCTAAACTTACATAATGATTTCGAAATTCAAGATTTAAAAGATCACCTAACGACCCTATCAAAAAACGTTTATGGTTACTGCTCAACTCATCAGGTTTACTTTATACTTTATAGCTTATACAATCTTCAAGCACATACATATCAGCGTAGACTAAGATATGGTAGCTGTCCCTACAACATTGTCAGTTAACTATATTTCTATATGCCACACATACAACAGATATAACGTGTATTACCTACTATTTTGCATTTTTCTATTATTACTAGGTAGGTACTTAATAATATTATAATTACATTATTAATTGTCGAACCAACATTAATGTATATTTTTGATAAATTATAATATTTATTATTATTCTTTTTTTCCTTTATTGAGATTTTAACCATAGAATTATTTATTATTTTTCTTATTCCCGATATGATTATGATCATGTTCAAATAGTCAAAATGTAAAACCATAAATAGGTGTCCATAGATGTTGATAGCAATAGCTCATTGGTTAGGAAAGTTTTATTTTAATAATAATAAAATTAAAAAATATACATATAATAATAATATTTATAAGTCATAACAATTGCTGGTCACGGGTTGGGAATTTAAATACATTAGAACCAAGTTAAATAAATACTGTTTTAAATTTTATTTATCACTTATTGTATAGTATACATACAAAGACCTATTAATATTAGAAACAATAATTTTACTACCTATTATAATTTATAACTACGTACATTTAAAATAATTTAGATTTAAGAAAAATTTATAAATACACTTTCATTAATTAAAAAAAAATTAAATATACATTTTATTTTTATAATTTGACTTAAATTAAGCTTAATTGAGTACCAATATCCTCAATTCTAATATGTATTGATTTGTAGAACAATGAAATAAAAATCAATATATATCCTTGCAAATTTAGGAATGCAACAATTATATATCAAGTAATTAATTTTGTTCTTTTGTCATGATAAATAATAATACAATGAAATAAATAAAAATAAAAATGACAAATACACATAAAAAAAATACAAATAAAAGAAAGAAAATAAGGAAGTACCTAATATAAATATACTTCTAATATGGAGAAAAAAGAGACCATTAAATGAGTAACCATCAAGTAATTTGATAACACAACTTTTTAATTTAAGTAATTATTGGTATGTCTGGTATATCTGTTTAGAATTTGATCTTAACTATTCAATATCAACACCACAATTGAAGCTATGCCGGTTATTTTCACTAGAAATATCGTCTGAACCAGAATTATGTTCTTGAGGTGCATTTAACATGTTTAATGTCACATCAGCAGAGTTACATTTTGTACTAAGTATATTTGTTGTAATTGGTGATGTTAAGGACATTGGTGTTCTTGTCAATGCAGCCGGATTGATTGCTCGATTCTCATAAGATTTTCTTTTGAGCGTTGTATGTATTTGTGATCTGGAAAGTTTAATCAATGAAATGGAAGACAGGAGAATAAAGATCATTTAATATAATATATTACATATATTTTAATATAAAATCAAAACTATTTATTTACAATTCAAAGTTAATTTAAAAGTGCATTGAGTTTTTTAATAAATAATAAAATATCACTTGGCATTAAAAGCCTCTGAATTTAATACAAAAACATTTGAAAGACCTTAAGTTATTATTTATTAATAATATAAAATAATTACACTGTTCGCTGTTTGATTTGGTCGCAGATAATAGCTAGGTCATCTGTGAATTTCTTTACAGCACTTTGTAACATTTCTATGTCGTCATCAGTCCATTTGCTAATGAATAATGATAATGAAATGCAAAAATAACCATCACAAAAATGCAAAAAAATAATAATAATAAAATTTGATGTTATACCTGTTGGGTGTAGGAGTATCATTTGTGGGTTGCAATGTCAATGTTAGTTCGCCTAATCTACTGAATGCGGTACCTGCAGCACTGAAAATCTCACCAACCTATGCATAATACGAATTATTGAGTATTGAATTTAAATATATTATGATAAGTGTACAATAGCAACAGTTTACTTTAGCCGCTGAACTTTGATTGCTCATTTTATTCACTTGTTAAATTTGAAATATTTTTAAAAATCGTCACTTTAGATTTCATATAAATGTCTAAAAATATTAAAATTAATAATTAATAATATTTAATATTATTGTCTGTACAAGATAATATTATTACAAATTACTATAGTCTAATAGTCTATAATATTAGTAAAAAAAAGTTAATATTGTTGATTTTTATGTTTTGATAACATCGAAGTGATACAATCGGTGCCGTAAAAGCGATACCAAATAGATTACGCGCCATTTTGTAGGATATTAATCAAGTCTATAAGGATAATAATATGTATGAGTATTTAAATCGGTAGGAGTGCAGGACTAATACGTAAAAAACGTTTCCACAATTGTTCCCGAAACTGGAGAATAACTTTTTCAAATAACAAACTGATTATTGAAATATAAAACATATGTACATACCTACAGACAATATAATAATAATAATTTAACACAATAAAAAATAAAAATATAATAATAATATTATCAAGTTTGAACGGGCAAAGATTTGTTTTTATTTTTTTAGCCACTCCTGTCTCTATCGCGGTAACACTGGTCCCGGTATTCTCGGCTTGTACCATAGAACAACTGTGGAGGGAGGTCTGTCCGGCGGGCGGCGGCGGCTCCCGCCCTCCCCGTACCCCGCTCGCCCATCGATCCAATTCCGTCGGTGACGAAGTTTCAAGTTTATTGAACGGGATCCGTTTGTTTTTTTTTTCTCTGCTCTTGTATTGTGCATTTGTGCTCGTATCTACAGTTATAATAACGCAATTAACCGTGCAGTGCGTCGATACCCAATAAGTGGCCGGACGTTTATCGAGAAATGACAATTTGTGTATGAAGGAGAAATAAACAAAAATCATACTCGTAATTGGTGCCGAGCGAACTAGGTAATTAGACGTTTTATGTTTTCGCGTAATCGATCCCGGCGCCGCTGATGCCGTGTCGCTTTTTCGCTTGCCACACCCAGCTGAATGATTTTATTTATTGCGAAATTCTCTAATTTTTCATTTTGAAGGGGCTACGGGGGTCTGACATCCGCACGATCGTAATTTATGTCTCGAGCTGGAAGTCCGAATCGTATTTGACCTACTACTACTCCCCAATACTGCCTTCATATATTATAATATGTACCCACCTATTATTGTCATACCTTTTCTTATGGGCTATTGATACCTATCTAATGGTAGTTTATAAGTCTTCCCTCTAGTATTCATTTTATAGTTTCTTAAACTACCCACTAACTGTATAAAGTTAACTTATTTAATTTCGTTATTAGAATTTGCACTTTTATAAATCGACAATATGACATCAGTGCTGGTTTTGCAACGCATGCCTCAGTAAAGGTTAAGTTGTTACTATTTTTAAAACCTTAATTATTATTTTGTGAAATAGTCTAATAGTCATCTAATTAAGGGACTACCTACGTCCCATTTTATGTTGAATTGAATATCATTATAAATATCGAGCTTAGTAAGTGGTGTTTTATTTTCTATTTATATATCATATTAACATAGATCCAAAATATAGGTAGGTTTAAATTGAATTAGTTTGTCATTAGGTAAATATTTAATAAGATTTATAATCATGAATTCTCAAATATATAATTGAATATGAAAACTTGTTACTGACGGGTTGCATGAACAATCACTAAACATTTAACGAATCAATAGTGAGCTAATGATCCGTTAAACATGGTTTAGCAACCCATGATTGGTCCATTTAATTTTATTGGACCGTTAATTTAATAATTTTTTCATGCAACCCGGCATTAGTGTACTAAATTTCTTTACAACTAGTTGCTTAGATATTTAAATACCTACCAGGGTACCTACCCATTAAGAGTTTTATTTAAATCTCAAGTTGTATAACGCTTGTTGTATTAAGACCAAATACTAGGTGCTATCTACCAATCAAAATTTAATCTAAACAATGTATTAATTGTTAATACATATTTTATATAACTCGTTAATATTGTAGACATATTGTTTATTTTATTTTGTTTAGCTGTAAGATACTTTAATTGTTGAGGCTAAATTTTTTATAAAGACTAATAGAAAAAAATTTATCAAGTAGGTATTATTATGTACAACTTATATAGTTATACATCAGCTATTTAGTATTACAATCACACATTGGTTTTATCTGAGATTTTATCCCACTATGCTTTATATTGATAATAACTGTTTTGTCTCTGTTTCTTAAATCTAGTAAATCTACAGAAAAATCTACACCAAAAAAAAAAACTTAAAAATATTCAAATATCTGTCATCAATATTAGACATAAATAACTATAGCCAATGTAAAACTACTATTATAAAAACAATTGAGAATTTTTTAACAGGATTAAAATAACAAATAGACAATTAGATCTTCTAATGCTGTGGTAAAAAAACTAGGTATCTTTGTTTTAATATTTTTATTGTACTTGATACATTTGACCTTGTGATAATTTTAATACCTATTTAAATTTTGTTAGAATGATTAAAATTATAGTACACTCAAATAAAATAAAATTATTAACTCTGTTCAGCTTGGTAGTATGTAAATTCAGATGATTTTGTTGTTAAAATAATTTATAAATAAGTGCTGTCATTTTTAACAGTTTAACTACTATATTTTTTACTTATTACAAATACTATAGGTATACCTATGAGTTTTAAATTCAGTGATAAATATTTTTTTTAGAACAATAAACTTTTCTATTACAATGGATATTTTGATAATACCTATTTGTGAATAAGTTGTATCTATCTTAGCTCATTAGTTAATTCGGTGGGTAGTTTTAAGTTCTAAATTATTTTTTAATTGTCTATACTATTGTTGTTTATGCTTATAAATAGATGAAATAATAAAAAATTGGAATCATTATACATTTTAATTGAAGAATTAATATTTTGTGCTTACTATTTACCTTAGAGCATATCTGATATCAGCTATCACAAGATTTATCAGTAAACAATAAATAAATAAATACAATTAATCAGTAAACCCAGAGTACCTACTCAATATGATAATAGACTAGTTTTCATTCATTATTATTTTAATATAAATAATCATCACTATTTACTATATTTAGCCAATCTTTAAATAAATATCAATAATTACTTATCATATCAACTAAACATAATTAAAAAGTAAATTGCTTTTTTCACTGATTTGAAATTATAAAAAGATCATTTTATTAAAATCCCAACATTTTTTATTTAAGATACTTTCAAAATGGATCCCTTGATTCCAAAGGAGGTGAAAATCCTTGAATCGGCTGAGGATATCCAAAATCGTCGTTTTCAAGTACTTGATCGTTATAGTGAATTCAAGGCAGAAGCCCGTTTGAAAAGAGAAAAACTTGAAGATTCTAGAAGATTTCAAGTAATTTAAAACTGAACTATTTCAACTTTTAAATTATTTAGAGATATTTTAATTTGTGTATTATTACAGTATTTTAAAAGAGATGCCGATGAACTTGAATCTTGGATACTTGAAAAAACACAAGCTGCATCAGATGAAAGTTATAAAGATCCCACAAACTTGCAGGTTAGTATTACTTTTTTATTTTTAATACTAATAAAATATGTAATTAATGTATTGTGATTTTCTTAGGCTAAAATTCAAAAGCACCAAGCATTTGAAGCTGAAGTTGCTGCACATAGTAATGCAATCGTGGTTTTGGATAACACTGGAATGGGAATGATTAATCAAAATCATTTTGCATCATCAGAAATACGTCAGAGACTTGGTAATTTAAATTTGTATTCATTCATTTTTGTATGAAACTTCATTCAAATTGAAATAATTTAATGTTTGTAAAACAATTTTTTAATTCTTAGGTGATGTCTTGTAGTTTTATAGCAAAAACTATAAATTAGTAGTATTGGACATATATTATAAATTTGTTTTAAATAAGTTAAAAATATATTTAAATACGACTGTAGATTGGAATTAATGGTAAATTACTAATAATTTTAGAGCAATTACACAAAGATTGGGATTTACTTTTGTCAAAATTGGCTGAAAAAGGTGTTAAATTACAGCAAGCTTTGGTTTTAGTGCAATTCTTAAGGCAATGTGATGAGGTTATGTTTTGGATTAATGATAAGGTGAATAATAAATTTTAGTTAAGTAAAAAAAAAAATATTTTATGTGCTTATTAATTATACTTGGTATGATGTCTAGGAAACTTTTGTCACTACTGATGAGTTTGGTGCCGATCTAGAACATGTAGAAGTATTGCAACGTAAATTTGATGAATTTCAAAAAGATATGACATCACAAGAATATCGTGTAACTGAAGTAAATGATTTAGCTTCCAAATTAGTGCTAGAAGGACATCCTGAAAGAGAAACAATTTTGAAAAAAAAAGAGGTAAGTAAACAATTTTCTTGTTTATGTTATTTTTGTATACAAAATCAAATGTATGTACTTAGGATTTAAATGAAGCATGGACTCGGCTTAAGCATTTGACTTTAATGAGGCAAGAACGTTTATTTGGAGCTCATGAGATACAACGTTTTAATCGTGATGCTGATGAAACTGTAGCTTGGATATCTGAAAAAGATGGTATATTGTCTTCTGAAGATTATGGAAGAGATTTAGCCAGTGTGCAAACACTTCAGGTTAGTTATATTATTATTTTATTATTATGTTATTATAAATACTATCATATACAGCCGGGTTCACACTACAGCATGTCGTGTATAGTAAAATATATTTAGCTTCTAGGTAACATGCTACCTACATAATCTGTCAATGTATAAATATATGTAAACAACGTAGTGTAGTGTGAGGCTAGCCTTAGGTTGATAAACGATAAAAGTATAAGCATAGGTACACTTAATCTTTGTTTTATTTGATTTTTAACATTAGCTTATCATTTTGTTCCTCAAGTTAAAAATTGTCTTTCAATTTTTAAGCTATAGTCTTTAATTTTTATAGTAAAATGTATGAACAATAATTGAAAAATATTTTCTTATTTAAGAGGAAACATGAAGGAGTTGAAAGAGATTTAGCAGCTTTAGAAGATAAAGTTTCAATTTTGGGTCAAGAAGCAGATCGCTTATGTGGAATTCATGCTGATCATAGTTCACAAATCCAAAATAAGCGTG